ACAGTAAATCAATGAATTAGAATGTCACCCACTCCTGTCATTTGGGAATACTAAATAGACTTTAGACTTTTCATGTTTTTTAAAAAATTGTCATTGTTTGGACAACTATAGAAAATGTGGACAAATAAACACAAAGTATGAAACTGCTTTAAAAAGAAACAAAACAATTGTGCTTCTACTTTTGGCCCAAGCATTTGAAATAGAACATTTACTTCATCTTTTGAGGCAGGGTTGATATATTGTGGTCAAATTGATGGTCTGAGTTTCTAAAAAGGGCAACATTTTTTCCTTGGAGAAAGTGCAGTTTGAAAACTAAAAAAGCTGGAGCCAGACTCAATGAAAAGCACTTAGCATGGCAATAGTATCAATGTCAATTGTTCAGTGTTCAGTAAACACTGACTCATCTACAAACTAGTTTGATAATGAAAATGCACATGTAAAAAATAATTTAGATGAGTTGGTAGTTCCAGTAGACTAACTATAAAATGCAATGTGAAAATGCACATGTAAAAAATAATTTAGCACTTAATAAAATGTCCTCCCACTGGCTGGTCATCTTTTTAAAGGTAAGGAAACACGTATGGAAATACCAGTGGTAAAAAACTAGACAGAAAAGTGATTTTAAATGAATTAATGGTCAAACCAAATGGTGATCCTACCCCCTGCCAATTTGGCAATAAATATCTGTAGACAAAAGCTGTGCTGCTAATAGCCTCTAAGTGTGAAACAGACAGCTGCTGACTTGCTAAAGCTTGACCAGCACAGTGCTGCTGATGCTGCTCACTGCACTTGCCTGCCTGCTCAGTCTCACTCCCGCTGCCTGCTGGCCTGCCAGCTAGCTGTGCCCGCTTGGTTTTTACCATCAAAGTCAAGCAGAGTAAGATGGATGGATGGATGTGCAGTAGCTCCTCAAAGAAACCTAAGATAGCCTCTCTTCCAGGTCAAATCAAAGACTACTGCAAAGCGACACCTTCAGCACAACCACAAGAGTTCAACGGTTGGTTAAGGCTGTTTTCTTGTATGCTGTTTCGAGGCCTTGCATGGGCGTCTCGGACAATAGGCGTGAAGTAGAAAAAGGGACGGTCGAGCAAAAGGCTTTTTCTTTGTACGTCCGTAGATGAGCAGTTCAAGGACACTGATTCCCCACACTATAAGGCCCCTTTGAGGGGATGACGTGTCACTAATTGCACAAATACAATAGGGCAGCATGGCCTCTGCATGGTCACCCAATGTCCTCCATTGTCTGCGCAGCAGACTGGAGATCAACCCACGCTACAGCGTCAAAGCCAAACAAAGAGTTTATGGACACATAGGACAAAGTCCCAAATGCACATTCACTGGGTTAACAGGAGGCCTGGTCAGGTTTTTTTTTTCGTAGGTATAAACTTATACATCGGATGCTTTTGAATTTTAACAGGACAATCTTTTATCAAGGTTTAAAAAGTATCCTTAAATAAAATAATGAGACTCATAGCAGTTACTTTGAAATATTCTGAAATAATAATTCCTGCAGAAATCTCTAAGACTGACGGGAGATAAGAAAGCAATTCTACATGCAACATTCTGGGAGGTTAATTAGTAATAGGTTTGGAAATCATAACTAGTTGTAAAGATTACTCATGCTAAAGTCATGGCTATCAACTTTGTGCTGAACCTTAGAAGGAAACTGTTGTTCCGTGTATCTGTTCCTTCACCTCTTCTGTGGTTCAGCTTTAGAAATAACTGTTCCCTTGATGAAAACACATCCAATTGGGCTTTGGAGTGCTTATCAAAGTCTGCCAAAACATGCTGCTGGAGACTACATTACGTTACGTTACGAGAATGTCTAAAATGTTTCTTCCATTTTTAGATTGTACTAAATTTTCCCACAAAACCTAAAAATATAAAACTAAAATAAAAATACTCGATGAACCATATTATTTGCTTCTTTTGTCCAATTACATTAGAAACATTCCCTTTGGCAAATTTACCAACGAGAAAAATCACTGATGAAAATCTCCTGGCTGTTCCCAATGAACCCTTGGACTACTGATATAACGCTGCAGGATTACGATTATCCCCTACATTACAGACCCGTACTCAGGCTGCCGTCATAATGCTGAGAGCTTAACCCATTACTCGACTGAACCATTAAATCATTTCCTGATGGCTTTGTGACTCATTCTGGATGTGTAAAAATCATCATTGTGAAGGAAGCCTGTGATGAAGAGGAGGAGAAGGACAAAAGCCAATGTACAGTATCTCTGTGCGTCAGTCTGTGTGTGTGCGCATGTGTGTGTTTGTCTCGCCTGCATCGTGTTGACAGCTGTCGATGAGTGACGCAAGTCAGTCGGCTCATGTCCTAGATTATGTAAGGAAGCGGACAAAGCACTGCCGTCTGGGCTCAGACACATTTTGTCTTTCATTAGACAAACAGTGTAAAATACATTAAATTCTTTCCAATATTTTGCAGCTCAACCAGACAAAAGCTTGTTAGGATCAAATTCTTGCTACGCTGGACCGGTATACAAAAGAACATTGAACATGGTGTGGTCTCTTACACACACCAACACACACAATCTAACAGATTCCCAAGACAGTCAGATCCTG